CCAGTTTTCACACATCTGTTGTAGCATCCCCATGATCATCTGATCAAAATTTAGATGCTTGGCAACTGGCATGTGTTCATGACAGTTGCATTGTCCTGGGATCAAGTGATCACCAGTTGTAACCTTCTTAGCTGGTTTCAACAAACAAAGTCAATAAGGGAAGCCAGATCGACTTCCAACTCTCTCTGTTGCAGTAAAGTAAGGCATTAACACAACTTTTTGTTTTTCATAATAATATGAACAAGTCATTTCTGTAAAGATCTATCAATCATCTTGGTAAAACCCAAAATCAAAGCTTCATTCTTTTTTACTTATTTATTTATTATTTCACTTTGTATAATGCCCTACTCCCGAAGGACTCAGGGTGGTGAACAGCCATAAAATAAAACATGTGAATACAAAATTTAAAATAAAGTAAAACGAATTAAATAATTTGGCTGAAAATTTAAAACCCCAATAATTTAAGACCAAATTTAAAATTTCCATTTAAAAAGGGGAAAAACTGGTCAGGCCAGCTTGATGAAATAAGAACGTTTTGAGTGCGCAATGGAAGGTACGCAGATCCGGGATCCTCCGTATCTCCGGGGGGAGTTCGCTCCAGACAGTAGGTGCCCCCACAGAGAAGGCTCTCCTCCTGGGGGCCGCCAGTCGACATTGTTTGGCACTTCAAGCACGAAGTGCGAGCTTTACAAGCACTTTTGGCAGGATATTATCTGACCTAATTTAAAATCAAGACTAGGAAGAGATTTTTCTGAACATGTTAACATTTGACTTGCAGATAAAAAAAAAAAAAATCCTAAAACTGCAGCAGTATCTGCTCTATTTTTAAACATGGCTATAAAAATAAAGTCTTTAGTACATATCAATAATTTAAAATGTTTTAAAATCTTAATTATATTTGTAGTTTGATATTTGGATCTTTTGGCCCTAAATAATCTATTTCTCTCTGTGTATATACATAACACACATACACATACACTATACACTATATGTTGTGGCCCGCCAGTGGCCTGCACAGATTGTAGCTGACCTCGACGAGGAGGAGGCTGGTGTGGTGTCATGCCAGCAGCCTGTGCAGATGGCGCTCGAGTTGGACAGCGAGGAGGCTGAAGAGGATGTGGTGCCACAGGCAGAGACTCAGCCAGGGCCTTCAGAACCTCCAGAGGCTCCTTCAAGTGAAGAGAGTGAAGTGGAGGAGCCTCTTCTCAATGCTCGAGCACACAGGGCTGCCAAAAGGCAGGAGTGGCTACTCAGGAGGACAACTCCTTGAGAGTAAGGCTTGGGGCTAATTGGCCACTCCCTTAGCCTATTTAAGTTCGCTCACAGATAGCACACGCTGCTGGAAATGTTTAATTTCTACACAGAGCATTTTGAGAGTGAGTTTCTTGTTATATTTTGGTTTCTGGGCTGGTTGCCAACCCTTGTCAGACTTTGTTTATTCTCTGTAATTCATAGCAGGCTGATAAGGACATTTGCACTGGAAGCCTGCATTTTGGAAGGGGTCTGTTTGCATTAAATGGAGTTTTTGGAGCTTTGTGTGTGTCACACTCCTTGGGATCCAGAGCTGGGGCAGAACACTATAGTTTCACAGACAAGCACACAAAAAGGTATAGCTATTTTAGTAATTCCCAATAGGTACTCTGTTTCCCCGCAAAATAAGACATCCCCTGATAATAAACCCAATCGGGCTTTTGAGCGCACGGCAATAAGGCCAAGTGCTTATTTTAGGGTTCAAAAAAATATAAGACAAGGTCTTATTTTTGGGGAAACACGGTACTATATGAGTGCCCTTGTATTTTGAAGCACCCTTTCCTTTAAAATCCCAAATATTGCAGAGATGCACCATTTTTTAAGTAAATGGAAAAGATTGTGCATTAAAGTTAACTTTCAAATGAATGGGGGTATTTTAAAAAGTCATATGAATCTAGCTGCTCTTGTGAAGAATTGTTCTATATGGAAAAATCTGTTTTAGAATCTCTGTTTTACTAAAACCACTAGTTTAATAACTACTGGCAACATCCAGTATTTTGAAAAATCACTAAACTTCCCTGAAGATATTTAGCTGTTTTTTAAGGCTATGTGATCCAACAGTAAGAAAGGAAGTGCTGTCCATTTTCAATAGCTGAATTGATTTCAGCATTAATTTTAATATTTTTCCTAATCAAATATATATTCAAGTATTCATGCCTCATGTTTCATAGTTATCTATGAGCAATTTGTGATAAAGGTATTTTCACCCGAATCATAAAAAATATTCTTTTGTCAAATATCTCGGTCAATATTTATATTCATGAACTAGATTTATACAGGTAAAATCATACTCTCATTATCTGAAATATTTGTGCAGTGACTTTTTTCAGTTTGTTTTAGTCACTTTTTAAAAGTCTATTTATCTTGGTATCACACAAAGAACATCATTTTATGGCCTTTTCTTCATCGTGATGTTTACAAATATTGCTTCATTAGATACAAGTGACTGAGATGGGCAAGGGATACAGGTTGCTTTCTATTCCAGTAGTTGTTGGGATTCTTCCCATAATCCTTTTTATGCTATTGGCTAGTAATTCTCGTTGTCCCGCCCATCCCCACCCCTGCTCTCCTTTAGATACTTCTTGATGCTTTGGCTCAAATCACTGTGTAGTATGATTTTGTGTGCTTGCAACAGCCAAATTGTTATGTAATCATAAAATTCCTCTGTGAGGGCAATGGGCAATTTCAGACTTTGATAAAGAAATAAATAAAAAGGCAAAATAACTCCAAAGGTAGCAGCAAATTACAGGTTGATTTTATAGTCTGGGAAAGGAAATTTGGGCATTCCCCCATGCTTGCTTCCAATTTCAATTTCCCTGCTTCTTAGAAAAGGAAAGGAAGAAGAATCACAGTTAGTTCAAAGCAATGTTATTGTAGTATTTTGAATGCTATATGATAGAATAAATAATGTTCAGGAACAAAGAAATTCATGATCAGTTAAATATCTCATTCATTAGTAACTGTTTGAGTACAACAAACTGTTAGATTCAATAGACTATTTCATACCCTAATTCAATACTTGCAGACCCATATTTATTGTTATTATTCAATAAATTCCAATGAAACAAATTATACTCCATAAATGATTCCATCTAACATTTTAATCCATCCTCACACAATTGGAAGTTTGCATCAGATCTTCTGAATTCGTAGTCATAGATCACACTAATGATAAATGTGGGAGTTTTTTTCCTACTTATGTAGGAATAAGTATAGTACATACTTTATAGTACATACTTTTATGTACTATAAAAGTATAACAGCTGCTTTAATAATTACTTAGCTGGTTGCAGGTATCTGTTCCAAAGTCTGAAACTGTTTATACACTATATAAAACTAAAGTCATCTGCTTGTATAGCCAATATTGTCTATACCATTTTATAAGCAGCAGATTCCCAAGATATCAGAAAAAGAGCTTACTTTGCTCTTTAAGATAATTCTTGTGGCAGAAGTTAGAATCTTTTCCATAGAAAGTACTTGAGATGATTTTCAGAGCAGGTGGTATAGAAATACAGTTTAAGAGCTGTACAATTCTTGTAAGAAAAAAAAATCAAGGCGTTACCTATGTTTTATATTGTCAGAATAATACATTATTGCATACTGAGTAGAATGGTGTTTCTTTTGTTAATGTTAATATCTGTGGTAATTTGCAAGTAAATACATAAAGTTAAAATTGATAGTTCATGAAGTAACACTCAAGGAATATTTCCAGAAATAGAAATATAGTCTAGTGTTCCAGGCACATTATTCCACATTTATATACTTATGGAATCACCATATTGGCAAGACCATTGAATAGACCAAATATAAAAAAGTGTTTTCATTAGTCCCTAATCAGCCTTGAACAAGATAATCTTATGAATTTAACAACACATACTGTAATGAGAAACACTTTTCTGAGCAGATGGCTTCGATTGCTACATAAAATGTAAAAACAATGCCATTCATGTTTTCAATGCCTGTTTTTCATATTGCTTTTTCTCAGAAATTGCTATGTAAGATTGACACTTAACTTTTTGACCCAGGAAGGCAAAAGCTAGTATTTTACACAATAAAGACTCACGAGTAAAGTTTGCACATAAAAGGTTTTTTTTTTAATAAAATAAAAGCTTACATGTACTGTACTTGTACATATATATTAACTCTAGATAGAATCACTCTCTTAAAGGAACTGATCTGCAGCTAGACAATCCTGAGGCATTTATGGCTTTTGCTAAACAACAGATGGAAGTGGTGGCCAGAAGAGTCTTTAGCCAGCTGACATTGGTGTGCTAGTTGCAAATATACTTGGATTAGGATATTCTTGGCAACAGTGATTCAAGCACATATCATTACATGACTAAAATTCTGTGACACACCCTACTTGGAACTGCCTTGGAAAATGATTTGGAAGCTTCAATTGCTACAAAATGCAATGGATAGGTTACTAATAGGTAGAATCACTATTTTAATGTTGTCCTATCCTTTGATCATTGGAATGGTTATCAATAAGCTTCTGGGTCCATTTCAAAATCCTGGTTGAAATTGAAAGCTATAATACCTTAGAAGCTTTCTTCTCTGGATGAAATCTATCTAGTTCATTTTCTCATGTGAAGAGCACATGAGGATTGCTGGGATGCAAGGCAAAGGATTGCTGGGAATCCTTTGCCTTGCATGACTACTAAAATGTGTGGGCTCCAAAACAGTTCTTCTCTGGAACAGTCTCCATGCTTTGGAATACTTTCCCTTCATGGTTTATCCTTCCTTTTATCTTTCTTCAAGTTAGCTATAACAATTATTTTTGAGCAGCCATTCATGTTTTAGATCGTTAGTGTTTTGGACATTATAGTATTGTTCTGTTTATTTTTCACTTGATTTGAATTGTGACCCACCAGAAATCTGATCAAATGGTGCAGTAAAAACAAATTACAGTAAGTAACTAAATACAAATAAATAATTAGTTGATTATCACACCTTTATTTCCATATCAGAGCATTCTGTGGAGATTACTAGTCTACTCAATGAAGGCTTCTGTGATGTAAGATTTTCCAACTGTAGCAACATCCAAGTGTATGGAGTTGGCTTTAATGATTCTCCAGATCTTCACTGTGAAGTCACCAGACTGACTGTAAGTAGTTTAATACGAGATCACGAAAAGAATGAAATATTCATCAGAAAGCTTCTTGCATTCAATAAACTCTCTGAGAAGGAGAGTCATGATTGACAAAACATTCAGTTTCAAGAAAGTTTAGCTAGGTAATTGAATAGTTATCAAATAGAAAAGGTATCCCCCCCTAAGTAAATACTTTTGAATGGCAAATGTAGGAATGTAGAGTCTTTTTATTTTGTCTAGGAAGAAGATCGACAGTGAATATGTGCAAGCACAGTTGATTACAGGCATTAACTTATAATATATGTCTTTGAAGATTAGCTGGTGGTTATCAATTATTTGGGAGATGCTGATAAATTTAATCTTTTTTTGGGGGGGGATTCTTAATCAGGACTTTCCTTTCTTTCAATTTACTTATTCCCTTCTCCTCATCTCTATTCAGATTGATTTCCTTTTTCTCTTTCTCTTCCCTTTCCAAGTGAATTGTATTTTCTTTCTTCTCTGTCTGTATATATGTATGTTGATATATATTCAGATGGGGAATCAGATTTTGATAAATGGAATACCTTATAATTAGTCAATTCAGTTTTACTTACAATTCATTCATATATCATATATTCATTCATATATGATATATTTTGACCCTGCTTTGATTGTTGGGACTGAGAATCTATATCCAAGGTAGGTTTTGGCAGCCTTAGATTGATTAAATATGAAAACTAAGCAATATACACAATTTTTTCAAAGTTTATAATTTTTTTAGCTATGTTTCTTCGGGTGCTGGGGCTAGGAATAATCTTAAATGCAGAGTTATTTTATTTGAGATAAATACATCTATAACATGTTTTTGAAAGTAAAGTCATATATTAGACAGCAAGAGAGCCAGTTTGGTCTAAAGATTAAGGCACAAGGCTAGAAACTAGAAGACTATAAATTCTAGGCCTGCCTTAGGAACAAAAGCTGAGTGACCTTGAGCCAGTCATTCTCCCTTAGCCCAATGCAGGACACTGGTTGTTGTGGGGAAAATAGGAGGAAGAAGTATTAGATACGTTCACTACCTTGAATTATTTATAAAAATAATAAAGGTGGGATAAAAATAAATGGGCTTTCTTCCCAGTCCTATTTCCAAACACTGTACAAAATAAAAAAAAATACATGCATTTTATGAATTGGAATAATGGAAGAAAAGCAGAATAACATCTAAATGGCTCATTTTTATATGTAATGGCCCACGTTACTCTCGTTAACAGCATGTTGATTAGACAAATCTGAGTAATCTCAAATGGTGCTCAAATGCTATTTTAGTGCATGCAATTTCTCTGGGTTCTTTTTTAAAGTCCTGTAAATCATCATTGCTATCATATGCATGTTAAAATATTTATATAATTCCAATATTTTTTTCTATTTAAATTACACATAATTGCTCCATATTTTAATGTACTCTATGTATTTATTCTATATATTTCCTTTAGTATGTTAAATAAAATGTTTTCCATAAAGTTCAACATACATGCTTATTTTTATTATTTTTTTCTAAATATATTATTTTTGTAAACTTTTTCTAATTGGCAAAACTTGGCAGCAAACTCCATTAATTACTGCTGATGTGCAATGGTAGAATTTACTCTAGTGGATTATGGTAATTACAGCTAAAAGAAATCTGTGATGGATTTCTTTTACATTCCTTGTTCTACTGATTGGTTTATCTTCCTGCATAGATTTGTATAGAGATTGGCTAAAATTATGGGTTCTAAAAGTAAAAAAAAAAAAAAAAACCCTCTTTCTGACACACACATTTTATACAGTTGGTGTCAGAGCACTTCAGAGATTAGTTTATAAGTAAATCAAAGCCATGCAGCATCTTCCATTTTTCTGTGGGCTTTTATCCCACTTCTACTATAGTTCACTGAAGCTTGAAATCACATTATTATTACTTCTCAATTTTGTGCATCTGGAATCTATACGCATGACTGTATTTCCAAAGACACTTGAATTTTAAGTGTCACAACTAACTAACCAAGTTTCTTGATATACAGCTGTAGTCTTCATCTGAATTGAAGGATTATTAATGTTATTATACATCACATCAGATAATACAAAGTTTTCTAACACTTTGCTTATCTGAGTAAAAAGAAATCTATGGCTAAGAAGTGCATGAATGGGAGAGCTTTTCAGTCATACGATTTCAAAACTACATAAATGTTGTCATGAACTTTCTCAGTGAAACTAGAAGGGTCCAGAATATTCCACAAAGCATCAATGGAAACTAGTGTGTATCCTCATGAATTAAACAAAACTATAAAATATTTATCTGGCATACAGAAAGTTCTAAATATCATTGCCCTTATTCATGCATTTCACATTGGGCATGATTGGATCCCCATATATTGAAAGGTCTGAACACTTAGAGTTACATTAATGTAACACCAGCAACTTTTTCAGAGACAGTGCTAGAGTGTACAGCAGTCTTTCAAATACTATAAAATGGAATCAAGCCATAAGGGTTTAGTAACAAAAATATTCTCAAAACATTTTATTAAATATGGGGAAAAAATAAGACATTTTCAGTAGTTGTTATCCAGCATATCTGACAGTACCCAAACCATGGTTAGAGGGAAAACCTGGAAGAACAATCTTTCCTTTAAGAATGAGAGCTCTGGTTTGTTTGTTTGTTTCCTAAAATATATATTCTAGTTGAAATTTTGATGTTATATTTTTAGTTGCTGAGGAACAGGTTGCTAAACATTCTGAAAGTATTACTGAGTAAATGCTATAATAAAAGAGAAGACAGAGGGTTCCTTCAGTACAGTTTACCAAACTAAAAACTATCCCAGCTGATTCCGACAGCTGTTTCCAACACCTTTCTGCATTATGTATAAAGTTAGTGTAGCAGTCTTCCCATTTGTCTGGCAATTTAGCTGGGACACAGCCAGTATTATAATGATAGGGCTGTGCAGAAATCTGGATTCAAAAAGCAAACCATAATTTGGGGTCGGGATAGGGTGAGCGTCTATATAGCATCTGTTAGGAACACATGGGTCTTCTCCTAGGCATACATGGCTGTTCAGTATTGTAGCACAATCCTGGGAAAAGACAATTCTGACAGGTGTTATGCATTTGCACAAATACATGCTGAATATTTTGCCCTTCCCAAATATATTGCTTTCTTCACAGCCTTAATAAATAGATATAGGCTATGTTGATGGTATTTTTTTTTAAATCTATTTAAACTACCAATATTTTAAAAAAGAATATTGGTCATCCAACGTGGCTGCTAGCATGGATGCAAGAAAATGCCTTGCTGAGTATAATCTTCTTCATCTGTTGCAATACAAAAAAAGAGTAATTGCTTCTATTTCAGCAATTATCAAAGGGTTTTAATCTGTAGCAATATAATTTTAGGCATTTTTGGATGAGCCATATTATTTGGATTCTTTTTCGGTGATAATTCCAAGTGGGTAATGGGATTCAGATTGCTTGAGTTACCTTACTGCACTGACCAATAGCTACAGTCCGTCGAAATTTCCATTATCCAGCAGGCAGCGCCTGTACAATTAGGGATGATATCTTACTGGACTACCTAGGCAGTGTTAGGTCATGAAAACATTGTAAAAGAGACTTTCATCTTTTCAGTCAGATGGTGTTCAGTTGGCGGTGCTGTGAACAGAGGAGAAAATATTGTTTGATTGCATGCCCTTTGGTCAGTGGTAGACCAACTGCAGATGCAAGGCTTTTATAGCCAACCCACTTTTTTCAGCATAGGAGGAAGCTAAGGGTGTTCACTTCTTCCTTTAATTTTTCTGCATAGAAGACACACTGATTTATCAGATCCTTGAAAAAAAATCTGAGAGCAATATTTTTTTTCCCCTTCTGCTCCAAAGTGGTATTGGGGAACTTGCCACAGATAGAGCCTAGGGCAAGTTTCCCAGGAGCATAAGAGGCTATAATTCTATTCTACTCAGCGTTGAATAGGACAATTTAACCCTAATTGGTGATCAGAAATATCTTTACACTATTACATGTAATAGAGCAGGGCAGGGGTGAAATGCTCCCGGTTCAGACCAGATCGCCCGATCCGGTAGCGATGGCGGTGGGTGGTTCAGAAAACCGGTAGCAAAAATCCCTGCACCTCCACCCCCACCCCCCCATGCCTAGCTGAGCCGCAGGATCATCAGAGGCTTTTTCTTTTTTCTTTTTTCTTTTATTTTTTCTACAACCTCTTCCGACAAAAAAATGCTTTTAAAAGTAAAAAAAAAAAGCGTCTCTGCCGATCAGGCAACTCACCTGGAATCGTCACAGGCTTTTCAAAGCATTTTTTTCTGCAACCTCTTGGGCGAAGAGGTGGTAAAAAAAAATGCTTTGAAAAGTCTCTGACGATTCCAGCTGAGTTGCCTGATCGGCAGAGAGGTATTTTTAAAAAAGCCTCACTGACGATCCCAGCTGAGTTTCCTGATCGGCAGAGGCTTTTCAAAGCATTAGAAAAAATGCTTTGAAAAGTTAAAAAAAAAAATTTGGCCACGCCCATCCAATCACATTACCCCCCCCCACCAAGCCACGCCCACAGAACCAGTAGTAACAAATTTTACATTTCACCCCTGGACCAGGGGTGTCAAACTCTATATCATTGAGGGCCGCATCAGGGTTGTGTTTGACCTCGGGGTGCCTGTGGTGGGCCGAGAGATCTCTTGAGCTCCATTTTCACTGGCAGAGGCACTGCGGGCATGTCCTGGCCATGTCTTATTTAGACTTATATTGCATACTAGCTGGATCCCCGTGCTTTGCTACAAACTATGTGATCAGGCTTGATAAATTGACACTTACAGCTTGAATCCTCCCCTATCCTATCCCCTTCTGTCCCTTAGCCTTGCCCCACAGAAATGTCTCTTATCCTTTCCCCTTCTCTCCCTCAGGCTTTCTAACCCCTTCTCTCCATGAGGCTTGCCCCACAGTAGCCTGTCCTATGCTATCCCATTCTCTCCAGAGTTATTTTCAAGTTGGGAGGGGGAGTAGAACGTCTAACTAATTAGCATCAAAGCATGTTAATAATAATATAAGAAATACTAGTGATTTGGTGGTCATTTTGAAAAATCCTTTCTTAATGAGCACCTAGAAGCCAAAAGGAACATACATGGCAAATTTCAAGTTTGTAGGCTTTACAGTTCTAGCGATTTCATGATTAATGTGTGAGTGGTTTTCGCTTTTATATATATAGATAGAGCTCTAGATCACTGACTAATTTGAAATGAGGCAACTCAGATATCAGTCAGTACATTGTGTCAAAATAACTTTATATGAAAATGTGGAAAGATGTGCAATTCTTGTTTTCAGGGTCAAAGTTGAAATCATGATTTTTTAATTAATTATTTATTTATTTTTTACAGCTTCTCCTCTTAGCTCTGCTCTCTCCAGGATATCATGTTGATGTAGTTGTGTCCCTCGAATACAGGGAAAGAATTTATTCTATGTGTTCTCAGATTATGGAATTGCCTCCATCTATAATCATGTGTGCATTGTTTTAATTTAATGCTTTAAATTGTGTTCTGTATTGAACTGTTCAAGCGTCAAGCGTTAATGTACTTATATAGTTACACTGCTTCACTTTTATTTCGTTAGTTGTTTTACATTCCTTCAGAGACTTTTGCAGAAAGGTTATTTTAAAAAGAAGATTTTGGTAACTAACCATATAATGTTAAATAACCTTTTGGATTTTTACATAAATGTGAAAATATATTCCAGAGCTATTCATGCAAGAACTTTGGGGAACAGCTTGTCCCTGTTTAGTTCTACTCATGCCTTAGGAATGATGTTTTTTGCTAATTACCATTCCAGAGCATGAATCAATTTCTGAACTGTATATGTGCCCTATAAACATGTTTGTTTCTTATCACTGGATTGAAGGAGAATTCAGGGGGTCAAGCTAACCCACATATGTCTTCCCAGGGAAAACAAATTACTAACTCAGCTATATGGTGTCAGATTTCCCAAACTAAACCGACAGCTCAGCTATAAAACATTTAGAAGGCCAAATAATAAGGATGAGAAAAGATACTAGCAGACAAACATAGCAGGGACAGTTCGCCAAACCCTATAAGGGTAACTCCACAGAATGAAACTATGTTCAGAGAATATGAGCCAGGGTGGCGCAGTGGTTAGGGTGCAGTACTGCAGGCTACTTCTGCTGGCTGCTGGCTGCCTGAAATTTGGCAGTTCGAATCACACCAGGCTCAAGATTGACTCAGCCTTCCATCCTTCTGAGGTGGGTAAAATGAAGACCCAGATTGTTGGGGGCAATAGGCTGACTCTGTAAACCGCTTAGAGAGGGCTGTAAAGTGCTGTAAAGCAGTATATAAGTCTAAGTGCTATTGCTATTGCTATAGTGCTTCTTTGTTCTTTCAAAACTTTAATTGTCTGTGTAGTCCTATCCCATTACTTCATAATTACACCATAATTGCTTCACTGACCTCACAAATATAATGTGCAGTGTGTGTGTGTGCCTATCAAGTCATTGTTGACACCCAGTGACTGCCTGAACTAGTCCCTGTAGTTTTCTTGCCAAGATTTCAGAAGAGGTTTGCTGTTGTCTCTTTCCTAGAGCACAGAAAGAGTGACTGGCCCAGTCTGCCTTTGTGCCTAAGACAAAAGTAGAATTCACAGTCTCACTTTCTAGCTATTACAGCAAACTGGCTTTGTATAATGATAACCCAATCAAATATCTCTCTATAATGAATTATATGTATACTTTATTCTGCAGAAATCTAAAAGGGACTTTTCCAACACTGTCCATAAACCTATTGATACTTTAATAAAAATGTGTCCTAGTCTCTGGTTCAAACATCATTTGAAATATTTATATATATATAGATGTGCAATAATTAATTCACATCTTATTGCTCTGTTTCCTGTAGTATCACAATGGTGAATGGATAGCCAGAGAACACGAAATCACAAAAGCAACTTTTTTGAACCTGACAGTGGCTGAATGCTCAATCCCCCTGCTGAACTTCACAGGAACAGAAAATCTTCATTTCAAGATTGATATTGAACCATATGCAAGATGGCAAGTGAAAGTAGGAATTGCTTGTGGTACTAGTAAATATTTTTTTAATTTTTTTTATACTTTGGAATGACATTGAAGTTAGCCTTTCCTGCTAATCCCCATACAAGAAAGGCAGAAACCAAAGATTTTTAGTATTGACTAATATTAAGTAAAGAAACAAAGGAAAACCAGAAATTATAGCATTGCATTAATTTTATTCTTAAAGTGCCGAATACAGTTAGTATTATTAGTAATCATTCTCAGTTGGCATAATAGATGAATCAATTGCTGATCAACTGCATTTTATTTCTAGAGTCACAGGTTGAAATCTTGATTGGGCCACAATTGCTGAATTGTTTAAGCTTCTGTTGTATATCTGGCAATTCTCCTATGCTCCAAATTGAATGCAAGACAGCAGTCCTCGGTGTCCATAGGACTTACTGGGAAGTCCTGCCATGATTCAGTGATTGAATCAAGTCAATCAGGGGTTGCCCACATGACACTCACAGCAGTAGTGGGTTCTACTTACCTTCGCTACCAGTTCAGAACTGTGAGTGTACGTGGCGCTTCTGCGCATGCGCAGAGCGTCCATGATGAAATCCGGGCAGGTGGGTGGCGCCTCCTACTGCCACCACTACCGGTTCACCCACCACTGGCTCACAGGCACCATACTACCCACAATAATCTCAGGTGCGATTCGTAATTTGATGATCAAAGCATTTCTTTAACAGGAGTTCATTTTAGAATTACATTTTTTTATTCCCTAACCTCATAGAAAATCATGTGATAATACCTGGAAAAGCTAATGATTTCTGGTATAGATTTAGGCTAACCATATGGGGGGGCTTGCATACATAGATACGTGTGTATGTGATGGTGATATATTGACCTTTGCTGATAATAAGCTTGTACCTACATACCACACAGATAATTGGGTCACAAGAAATGACTGTCAAGTGGCAAGACAATGTTTAAAGGTAGAGTGGAAGTGCTAGATTTGTTTGTTTCAATACTGAGTCTTGTAAAACTCATCTAAATAAAACTTATCTAAATAAGAGGTAATCTAAATATGTCCGTTCAGAAAAGTGCCGCTGAACTCAAAGGGGCTCATTATGTGTTTAGATAAAAATAAAATAGCTTTTGATGTAATTATAGAAGTATATTTCAAAGCTGCATTTCAATTTTCTCTCAGAGAAAGAAGAGTGAAATGCTTTAAGAACTAGAACGAGATAGAAAGTTTCACACAGTAATTACAGTGTATGCAGACTGAAGTATTCTTGTATTTCTATTTTTGTTAGTATTTCATTTTAGCATCAACATTCAGACAATTACAACGCTGTTAGATAGGCTCCAAAGCTGCGTGGTTGTGTTGTATCAATATGTATTGTTATCTAAAGAAATATCTACTCAGTATTTCTTATTTATTTTAGCTCCAACATTGTGAAAACCCTTACTGTACTTTAAAAATCCTATTTCTGCCTTCATTTATAACTTTCCATCTCTATTAATAAGTTGATGAGTACAGGACCCAAGACTGACCTATCTACCAGATATCTCACTTTAGTTTGTTGAAGATCCATTGATCTTCAACAATTTTTGAACCATGAATGCATCTACATAGGTGTCATGCCATCTACCCTGCATTGAACTAGTTTGCTGATGAGAATGTCATGGGTTATTTTTTCCAGCTATTTTACTGAATCAATACATCTATTTTTTCTTAAAAAATAAAACACTTAAGAAAACCTGATTCTGGACAAATCCTTGCTGATCTCTGGTTATCATGGCATTCATTCCAGGAGCATGTAGATAATGTCTTCATGAACTGTTCTCACATTTCACACATTTTAATATCAGACTAATTGATGGTTCTGTGCATTGTCCCCATTTCCCTTTTGGAAAACAAGGACAGTGTTTGTCTTCTTTCACCTAGCATTTCTGCAATTCTCCCATATTTTTCAAAAATAATATGTAAAAGTTCACTAGACCTTCAGCAATTTCCTTCTATACATTTGGATGCAATTCACCTGAACATAAAACATTTGATCCTATTTAAAATATAAATTCCATGACCGTGTGTCTATCAATCTCAAATTCAGTTCTTTCATTCTGCTTTTCACAAATGTCTGGCAAACAACAGTCTCACTGAAAATTATTTAGACAAAAAAATAATAATTGAGCAGCTTTTTGTTTTTACTTATTCTGACAATTTCGCTGAGCAATTGGCATGTTAGGTAACCCCCCTTTGCGTGGGTGTGTTTTTCTCATATATTGCAATTTCAATTTATCTTGATCCTTAGCTTTCCTAGAGCCCTCTCTACAGTTCTAGGTTATTTGTTGGTGTTTTCCTTGACCAGCTTTCTCTGTTTTCACCTCCTTTGTTTTGTATCATTTTAAAAGCTTCACTCAGTTTTGTATACTATTCTCCCCCGCATTTGCAATAGCACTTTTTAAAGCAAGTCCCCTCCATTTGTTTCTCCTGCAAAAATGCAGGTCTACCCATTGTTTCTTAGTCTCATCTACCCCCATGCTGTTAGGAGGATGTATGAGAATATTAGTGAAAGGTTATGCACATTATCTTGAATTATAGGAAAGGAAATAGATAAACATTTATGCACACATACACACACATACAAAAGAGTATATATTACATATCAACAAATAAAAACAGTTAAGATGTGTATTTATTATTGTAGGCTGTTAGCTTTCAAAGCTATACCAATCCATTTCGGGTTAATAGACCAACCTTGTTATAAAATAAAACAAAATTAAAAAAGCAAAGAAAAGAAATGAGAGTTATTTGAATATCTTACTGCAAAGCGGCTCCTGATATTCTACCCATTATTTATGTTCATTGGTTTGATCATTAGAGCTGCACTGAGAAAATAATAGTCTTGAAAGTGTTGGTTAAAGAAAGACATTGAGGAAAAAATTGCATTAAGAACGATCAGTCTGCTTTTGCCTGCAAAACAGTTGAATGTTAAGCTAATATTCATTTCATTCCAAAGTTTGATTTGCTTGGGATTACAACCTATTTCTCCATGTTAGATATTTGCAATACTTTCATCACTTTTATACTGACATTACCTTGGACTTTGACTTCTGTATTAGAGACTGACTCTTATCAAGGGCAGAATATAGGGTCTAATTCCAAGTAGCCTCTAGCCAGGATTTACATTTGCTACATATAACCCCATTGTGTTCTAAGAGCACATGGAAATAAATGCAATGCAATGCAAACTGAATGTATTTTAGTTTATTTGAGTTGCAATTGTATAACTAGATGGACTTGCTGGGAGTTTTAATCCTTCTACCTTCTGCCAGCTCTAATTAAACATCTTGCCTCGTAGCCTATTGATCAGGGGAAAGGAAATTATGTGGTGACAGTCTGAAGCAAACAGACATTTTTCATACTGTAAGCCTATTTTTCTGACAATATGCTACTGAAGTGCAACTTATCTTGTCTGGCAACAATCACCTGGGATAGACTGAGACAATGCAGAACACTCTAAAGTTTTATTTAGAAACAACCAATTTCATTGCACGTAGAAACTGGCCACAGTATGATACTATAGATAAATCTAAGAGTAAAATATATCATGGTTAACTGTGTTATATCATAGCACAGTTAAAAGGATTACATAAAACATTTGTAACATCTCCTCCTACTCATCAATCTTCTGCTAAAGTCAAAAGAGAGAAACCAGGGGTGAAATACTCCCAGTTCGGACCGGATTGCCCGATCAGGTAGCGATGGTGGTGGGTGGTTTGGAGAACCAGTAGCAGAAATCCCTGCCCCCCCCCCACCATGCCCAAAAGCAAAAAAAATGCTTTTAAAAGAAAACGAAAGCCTCTGATGATCAGGCAACTCAGCTGGAATCATCAGAGCCTTTTAAAAGCATTTTTTTTTACAACCTCTTGAGGTTGTAGAAAAAAATGCTTGTAAAAGTTAAAAAAAAAGTTGCTCACACCCACCTAGTCATATTACCCCCACTAAGCCACGCCCACAGAACTGGTAGTAACAGATTTTATATTTAACCACTGAGAGAAACTTACATTACTTCCTGCAGTATGGGCAAGATGTTTATTGACATGAACAGAATTGTCCAACCTTTGACTCTTTCATCATAGACAAAACCATCCTAACAAAATGTATCAAAACCAGGATAATTTTGGAGGAATATTTGTGAGTTAACACAAATAAATTCTAGGAAACCTAGAGGAAATGTTTGCTTCAACCAACACATATTCAGCAAAGGCAACTTCATGTTCCAATTAGTAGGTCACAGTGAGATCTAGCAAAATGAGTGAGTTCATGACAATAATCCGTACCCTGTGACACACATGGAAAGGTTATATTACATCTGTTTTATCAGTTGTGTTTGTCGCACAGCACAAACTACATACAGCAGAGAAACGTAAAGTCATACAGCTATTTCTGGCAGATTTAATTCAAACGAAAACAAACAAAAAGTTTGAGCTATTCACTGGCTGAGCAGAAATGATAGTTAGAAAATAAATTGGGTGGTTATTCATAGATATCTATGTGTCCTGTGAAAAACAGGTTCCAGAAAGTTCATTTTCTACTTGAAATGGTGCTGGCAAAAGTAGCTTTGTAACCAGTCCATAAACTTGCGGCAGCCATGGTGTCCCGATGATGGTTGCAGCGTTCCATGGTTATGTGATCACAATATACAAGGTTCACAGTTGGCTTATGACAAACAGTGTCAATGGAAACACCAGCAATAAGTTACAAGTCACAGTCATGTTGTATCATGCTCAATGACCAGGGTGGAACTAATGTTCTAAGTTCAGCACAGTCACATGATGTTTCATTTAACAATTGTATCACTTAGTGATGGAGTTGCCAATTCCAGTTATGGAAGTTAATCTATTTGTACTAAGTTAATTTACAGTCCCACTTAGTGAAATAAGTGTTTATTTTTCCACTTATTCTCTGTTTTACTCTGGATTTTAGAATAAATGTTGGTTTCTATATTCAAGTTAATAGCAATAGCACTTAGACTTATATACCGTTTTACAGTGCTTTTACAGCCCTCTCTAAGCCGTTTACAGAGTCAGCTTATTGCCCCCAACAATCTGGGTCCTCATTTTATCGACCTCGGAAAGATGGAAGGCTGAGTCAACCTTGAGCCTGGTGAGATTTGAGCTGCCAAATTGCAGGCAACCAGCAGTCAGCAGAAGTAGCCTGCAGTGCTGCACTGCTCTACCACGGCTAATATTCTGAATTCAGAGCTCAATTTATTACTTTAATTTTACAAGTGTCCAAGAAAAATATAACCTCCTGAAATATATATGTGAAAAATATAACACAAATAGTGTGATATCTATTTTAAATATAAATATGAACATTTAGAACAACATTTTAAGCAGAACAGTTTTTTTAAAAAAATGCAGTGCATATCCTCTTTGAATAGTTTGAAATGCGGAGAAAGCTAAAAACACATATTCATATTCAAAACTTACTTCAATGATGGAAAGTATTAACAGCAGCTCCATTTCAGCACCCTTTTCAAACAATGAAATAAAAAGTACATTTAATAGCTTTCTCAATCTTTAGCAGGGGTGAAATCCAGCAGGTTCTGGCAGATTCTGGAGAACCGGTAGCAGAAATTTTAAGGAGTTTGGAAAACCGGTAGCAGAAATTTTGAGTAGTTTGGAGAACCAGCAAATACCACCTTTGGCTGGCCCCAGAGTGGGGTGGGAATGGAGATTTTGCAATATCCTTCCCCCAGGAGTGGGGAGGGAATGGGAATTTTGCAGTATCCTTTCCCTGGAGTGGGGTGGGAATGGAGATTTTGCAATATCCTTCCCCCAGGAGTGGGGAGGGAATGGAGATTTTGCAGTATCCTTTCCCTGGAGTGAGGTGGGAATGGAGATTTTGCAGTATCCTTCCCCTGCCACACCCACCAAGCCACGCCCACAGAACCGGTAGTAAAAAAATTTGGATTTCACCACTGATCTTTAGATATAACATTTGTATTGTGCACATTTTTCTTTGTGTAGAATGTCAATTTATAAGTATCATGAGTTTTTGAATTGAGCACAAACTAAATGAAACTTCATATTTACTATTCAGTATTTAGTCTTCTAATAAACAGGTAATGTGATCATTATTTTTCAGAGAAAAATAAAATGCAAATTAAGTAAAATACATTATCTTCCATAGTTACTAAAACACTCAGGCCACATGAAATTCACATAGAGTATATTCGAAAAGTATATTCGAAATTTGAAAATACTGGCGTATCTCCTTTTGGAAAGATGGTGTGCACATTCAGAACAACATTCTATATTACAAGTGAAAACTTAATCCTCTGTATCTATTTTACAATTGATGTAGTAATAGAATGTGAAATGTATTGCCTTTGAATGTAAAATATGTTATGCAATTCTACCTTTCATGTCAAAATCTGAATTTGGTATCCCCATCTGTTTTCACAAAAGGCAAACAAGTAAAGCCTACCTAATAAGGTTCATTGCTTATAATAGTAATATCATTACTAGCAATAGCACTTAGACATATATACAGCTTCATAGTGCTTTACAGCCCTTTCTAAGCAGTTTACAGAATAAGCATATTGCCTTCAACAATCTGGGTCCTAATTTTACTGACCTCAGAAGAATGGAAGGCAAGTTTGAGCTGCTCAGAACTGAACTCCTGGAGTGAGCAGTGAGTTAGCCCCGCAGTGCTGCATTCTAACCACTGCACCACCATGGCTGCTATCATTACATTATTTGAACAAAATAGCAAATGATGACATGAGGTGAGATGGGGGGGGGGAAAGGTAAGGGGGAAAGAGGCAGAAGTGTGGAGGTGGACTTAAAAGAGGGATCAGCCTTGAATCTCAAAGTAGTCACAAGTGAGCTAAGATCAACTCCTCTTGAATTCATTTGATACTTATCTAACTCCTAGCAGGTGCAAACTGTTAGTTGAGAATATTCCTGTGCACAGACATGAGGAGCAATAAATCAATTTAATTGGACATTCACTTGTGGACCTGATTTTTCGTGCCTTAACAAAGAATTTATCAATGCATATGGTTAAATGTTTTGGAACAAATACAACTTAGAAAATTACTTAACTTATTATGGTTTGAGTCCTGTGCCAAGTACAGAATGAACATTTTTTTCTTGTATCTACTACTCTGTCTCCAGTTAAATGTATTCTTCCTCTACCTATAGGAAATACATGTAAGAGAAGCTTCTTTTACAGAATGTTTGTTCAAGATGTGACATTTTATGAATGAATTAGTATCTCAGGAATAGAAATTTATCTTGGGTGGAATAGAGGACACAATCTACCCAACAGGATTGTCTTGCTTTGAAGCAATCTCAATGAAATGCTGTTGACATCCATAAAATTTCTCTTGAGTAAATGTTTTATGGACTGCAGTCAGTTTGGAGCAGGATTTATTGTTCAAAATTGTGTCTATCTGAGTAAAAAAAAAATTACGGAAACAGATTTAACAAAGCACACAATTATCAGAAACCCCAGATTTGATCTGAGCAAAAAGATATTTTGGTAATAAATGAACGTCTTTTCAGTGTGCAGCATCCAGTGATTTATTAGCTTGCTGGAAAGTAACTCACAAGTGGTTTAATTTATCTTCTTGGGAGACATTTAGTTCAGGGGTGTATTTAGAATGTTCAGACAATGTCTACGTGGAACTGGATCACACAAAATGATATATTTTTGTATTTATTTATTTATTTTTAGATTTCTAATGATGGATTCCAGTACAGCAATTCAAAAGTTCTGACCTTGTATGATGGACTCTGCCAGGATTGCAAATTCCATCAAAATGGGCTTTGCAAATTAAAGGTAATTTCAAAACACTTAGAGGTGTAGCAGTGAACATCCATCTTCTTCTTAACCCTCCAGCTTCCTAAAGTGAGTGATGTGACTAGACAAGTCTCGGAACCAGATTTGTTTACTGATCAGCTGTATATGTACATGTATTGCTTCTATAGCTATTTCCTTCACATATACTGTACATGCAAGTTTGGCTAAATCTGTTTATCTCAGAACTGTCCTACATTGACTTTTCTGTATTAAAAAGTCTACCATAGTTTAATTTGAAACCAAGTATAGAATGTAGTGTTAACATTACATGTCTTTCTTTAGACTTGCTAAATTCAGTGGTTTAGCTACTGTAGTCCAACCAGAAGTTTAGTCAACATAAAGTTTGCTGTTGGACTAATTTACTTTAAGGCAGGAATCCTTTAGTTTCAAACAAAGCAATGGCTGCATTTACCAATTGTTTTATGATTGGTAGATCATAATTGCCATGTCAATCAAAAATGTTTTGAGGCCAGATATATTCATGAAAAAAAAAAGAAGAAGATAATGCTGAAACTTTTTCAACTACTCCCTTTTTAACATTTAAATGGCCAGGTCAGGTGAGGCAGGATCTGGCAGGTACCCAAAAAGTATTATGTAGATTAAGCCAGGGACTGATTTGGCACTTTTACTTACTACACTGGGAAGACAGATTTAGATCATTTCTTATGTGTATTGTCTGTAGCTGCTTTATGTACTTCATAATATATTCTCAGTGGTCATGGAAGCTGCCCAGTCAGATTATAGGGGAGATGGGCGGCATAAAAATAAATGTATGTATGTATGTATGTATGTATGTATGTATGTATGTATGTATGTATCCGGTTTCCCTGAAAATAAGACCTATCCTGAAAATAAGACCTAGCATAGTTTTTATGAATGTGCCTAATATAAGTCCTACCCCCCAAAATAAGCCCTGCTTGAGAGCCTGCACAGCCAGCCTCCTGCCCCACCGTGAGCAAGCAGAAGAAGTGGACCTCCTGTACATGGGGGAAAAAATAAGATACCCCCTGAAAATAAGCCCTAGTGCCTATTTTGGGACACAAAAGAAAATAAGACCCAATCTTATTTTTGGGGAAACACAGGGGTGTGTGTGTGTGTGTGTGTGTGTGTGTGTGTGTGTGTGCGCGCGCGCATATATGTGTATAATGGAAAGTCTCTTGGATTAATTAGAACCTTGGAGCAAATAATGATCCTTTAAGACACGGGTGACAAACTCGCGGTGTCACGTTGCTGTCATGTGACATTTCACAATGTTTTTCCCCTTTGCAGAGCTGCGGTGGGTGTGGCCTGCATGTGACATATCCAGCCCAGGGGCTGCCAGTTTGACACCCCTGAAAGAAATAACAATTTAGGAAGACAGCTGTAAAGAATCAAAAGGAATATTTCTCAATTAGAAGCAGGTCATATTGTCTGAACTAACACATTGTCCATAACAATTGTTAAACTTAAGATCTCAGACTACTGAAGAATTACAGTCCTCTCTGCCCATCCCAACCCCTAGTTTATTTAAATGAGTCTCGGCAGGCTGGATTCCCCCCCACCTTGTGTTAGATCAGAACTCCTAATACCCCAGGCTACCTAGGAATGATAGGAGTTGCAATCCAATATATTTGGAGACACTTAAGTCATTCTTCACAACCATGTTTTTTATCCTAGCAGAAGTAATTATTTTCTACTGCTGTAAACTGCTAGAAGTCATTTAGGATGGGTGATATAGAATGCCTTGCAAGCAAATAAATAGGTGCCTGAATGCTGTCAAAATTTACAAGATTGTTTTTTCTTTATCAAGGACTTTGAGAATAGAGAAAGATATCAATACTATGGCTTTTATGTTTCAAACCCACCCACCCCAATTTAGAGGAATTACTTGATTAATACTACATTTTGTAATTAATATATAATTAAGTACTATGTTATAGCCAAATAAAACTAAATTTTATTTAAAGAGAAATTGATGAAAATCTTGAGAATGTTGTATATTTTTATGAAAATTTCAACTTTTTTTTTTCTTTTAACTATCTAATTTGGAGAAAAAAATAAAGATGGCCCAAGAAATCACATCGACCCCACTGCCACCATCTACCTCTGATTTATTGGATGGGGTCCATTTGTACTGTCCATGACAAAGACACAAAACCAAAAAAGGCCATGTACAGGCATTTTGAAGATATTTACCTGACATGTTCACTGCCTTGAGTTATTTGTAAAAATAGTAAAAGCAGGATCAATCAATCAATCAAAAACACTGGGAACCCAGAAGCCAATCAGTTCCTGGGTAGGGAAAACCGGGAATGGACAATAGGCATGATGTTAAGCCAGGGACTGATTTACCGGAGAAAATGAAGATTCATTTAGATTTCTCCCTTGGGAATGGATTGAATTGACTATTGTCCCAAGATTGCTAGAAATAAATATGATATACTATTTCAAGTGACTAACAGGTCATTTTTGTTTTTCTTCCTGACAGGAAAATACATGCAAAATAGATGGCTTGTGCTATGCAAAGGGTGATCCCAGTCTCACCAGCTCCTGTCTTTTTTGTGAGCCATCAATTTCCAAATTTACTTGGTCTATCAATGAAAGTAAGTCCTTTGGGCTTTATAAAACCAGGTGTTATTTATGATACAAAAATGCATTTAAGTGATTGAGTGTATTCTTGGCTTGGAGAAGTAGATAGTGTATATTTCTAATATTTATTCATGCTAAAAAAAATATATTTTTTTTTGAGAAAGCCATCCTGATTTCTGCAAAGCCAAGCAGTTTAGACCTTTGTCATTATATAGAGGTTTTCTTTTTCTAATATGACTATTATGAGACTCTATTCTGGTAATCACTCTTTTGCCAGAGAGGCAAAATGCATTCCAGGCTTCAGATCTCTTCTCAAAAAGTGTTGGGCTTTAGTGACAAACAGGGCTATTTCTAGTATATCCACAGTTTAGCAGCAGTCCTCCTCGATCTCCTGGAACATATCATGGGGCTGGGGCAGGGGTGGGCTTCAAAAATTTTAGCAAGGAGTTCTCTGGCCGGTTGCTGGGTGGGGTGGGTGGCCATGGTGGCCATGGTGGGTGTGGCCTAGTCAGCCTCCTGGACCATGGCAGGGAGGGCGTTTTTGCCCTCTCTGAGCTCCAGAGTCTTTCCTCGAGCCTCTGGGAGGGCGAAAACGGTCTCCCCAGGCTCCAGAGACCATCTGGAGTTCTTCCCGAACTTCCAGTAGTTCTTCTCGAACTTCCGGTAGGCCCGTTTTTCGCCCTCCCTGAGCCTCCGTGCACGCCCTGCACTTACCTGCATCCAAAATGGGCCATGTGGTGACTCCTGGAAAGGTGGGGTGAGGTGGGTGGGGCCAGCCAGGAGTGGGATTTGGGGGTTCTCCGAACTGCACAGAATCTTAGCTAGAGGTTCTCCCGAACCCTGCGAACCCCCCAGCCCAGGGGTGGGGGGTAGAAAAGCCAAGGTCTTTAACATTGGGGTATTTTGGCTGTTATGTACTGGTGTGGCTATGTACTGAGCTCTGGTGGCTCAGAAGACTAATTAACATCCACTTACATCTGCTGCCTGTAATTACTGCAAGTTCAAATCTCACCAGGCTCAAGGTTGACTCAGCCTTCCATCCTTTCTAAGGTAGGTAAAATGAGGACCCAGATTATGGAGGCAATAAACTGACTTTGTATAAATATACAAAAGTATGAAGGCTATTGCTTAACGCATTGTAAGCCGCCCTCAGTCTCCGGAGAAGGGCGGCATATAAATCAATTTTTTTAAAAAAATGGAGGCAGATTGCCTTAAACATCACAGCCTACCTAGCAACTGTGGGCCTGTTCTTGGATTCCTTTCTCCTCTTTTCTCTTACTGTTGATTGGATTGATTGGGTAAAAGTGTTAAAAGCTATTTGTTGGGGTAGATGCAGCTGGTGCTTGTTTATTGACTATTACAATGGTGATATAAAGGTTTCCATTTATAGCCTTTGCAGGTTTATAAAGCAAAGGAAAGCTGAAGATAATAAGCACAGTTATGGTTTCACTTAGCAACTGCTTTGCTTAAGGGCCAAGTCCCAATTTTGGATGCTAAATGAGGATTGCCTGTGTAGAAAATTAGGAGACTGGTAACATGGAAGCCCCTAATTGGTTTGTGATAGATAGTAAGAGGAATGATTAGAGAGCTGGAGACCCACTGAGTTGCAGTGCCAGATTGCAAATGGAAATTTCTCAAGATTGGTGAGTGTACTTAATCCATCAGTCTATGCCTTGCTGATACAGGAAGCAAGAACTACACAGAGTTTAGTAAAATGTAGAGTATTTAATGCAGTCTTAGTTCTGTGCAGTTCTTGCTCCCTTGATCTTTAAAGCTAGTCTAGTGATTAATACAGAATTTTGGAAACTACATGAGGAATGTCCAAGCCTCATTTATAGTGAATTAAATAAGACAACCACTTTGAATGATTCAGAATGCTGCTTCTCAGGTTTCTTGCCACCTTTGCTGTGTTGCCAGTAGATTAATCTTTTCTGTACTGTTTATATCTACTCCCCTGTTTCTTTCCAAGCCTCCCACAATCATTCTGAAGAGTGTCAGGAGCTCAGTTTTGATAGGCCAAGAGAGATGTAGTCTTCTAAGAGTCTATGAAGAGACTGGGAAAGGAATGGAAGGCAGCAGGCAAGTCAGCAGACAGCCTATCTCATAAGCAGCAAATTAGCCTGAGGGTGAGGACGAGTGAGACATGTGGGACAATCTGTTTCAAAGTATTCAAACAGAGTCTACCTTATAAAACTAGCTATAAATGAGAAAGTCTGAAAAATTCCTATTTTATATTCCAAGACTCTGAATTTATTCTGAACATTAAATTTTACCTTTCTGAAGTTTGCAGTTTTTGGTACCTCATTTTTGCAGCTTGACAAATAGGGAAATGTTGGGCTACATTCCCTGTTCCAATGGGAAAATGCAATCTCTACCTCCAACCTTGGGGGGGGGAGGGGAAAGGGGCTGATCCTGGTGACTGATTGATGTGACCTTGTTCTCAAAATTCTAAAGGTAAACAAAGTCCACCTGTAATAAAAGTGTGTTAGCTACAGTTTGGTAGTGGATAAGCAGCAGAATCTGGCATGTATTATCAAAACATGGTTGAACAAGGTCAGCAATGTGGCCTTGATAGAAATTTGCTCTTTTAAGTCCTTCGTCACTCTCAGTGCCAGGATCAGGGATGAGCAGGGCCTGGATGAGCAAGGCCTGGAGGGAAAGCACCTACACTTCCCTTATGTTGGATGGCTGCTTTTGGAGTAGCAAATACCTTTACGGGAAGGTGATTGCCGCTAAAGTAGTTATGGTTATTTTGCATAACACTTTGTTGAAAAAAGTTGCTCAGTTACATGAAAATATTGCCCCTTTATTGGTAGAATCCATGGTGGGTGACTTGCCATGTTAACTGAAATCCTTTTTAGCTTCATCAGAATCTGATGAAGTAAACATAAGGTGACCAGACGTCCCGCTTTTGGCGGGACAGTCCCGCTTTTGAGCAATTTGTCCCGCGTCCCACGGCGTTTCAAAAAAGTCCCGATTTTTCTTGAGCCCCAGCTGATGGCTAGAAGAAAAAAAAACTGTTTAAACTCTTGCCCGGGGCTTCAAAGGGCCGCTCTACAGGCAATCAGTGTAAAGCAGTTTTTTTTCCCCCTAGCTAAGCTTCAGAAACGAAACCGAAACCAGGGTCTTTGGTGCAGCGTGACAAAATGAGGCAGAGAGAGATTTATTTTTATTTTTATTTTTCCTCCCCAAAAAAGGTAGGTGAAAAACTGCAAACAATGGGAAATTTAGGAGGAGAGTTCAAGATTTTAAAACACAAAGGAAAAAAAGCTGTATTTAACTAGGGAATTGTAATAATTGAGATACTATTAATTGTATATTGTGTTGAAAGCAGAAATGGTTAAGTTGTGGTTCGGAGGAATATATGGGAGAAATTATTTGGTTTATTATTATTGGTAAATATAATTAATTGATTTGTAAGAAATTGGATTGCATGGAAATAATTGGAATATTCATGTTCATATTGATTAATATACAAAAAAGATAGTTTTATAACTAATTGATTTATATTAAAATGTTGAATTTGTATTAAACAACTGTATTACATAATTACATAATTAAACAATGTGAGGATGGATATAAAAATAGATGACAATGGGAAGGGGTATAATATAGAATAGAAGGGAAAAATTGAATTTGATTAAGATTAGAGATGAGGATGAAGGGTAATATTGGTTTTTTTAAAAAAATAGATGAGGAATAAATATGGCAAAAAGGAAATATAGAAATTGTAAATTTAATTGAAATGACTAAACGCTGTTTAAATTTGTGAACCAGCCAAATATTCTGTTCAAAGAAAATACATTGTATGTTTGTATGTGTGTTTCTAATTATTGCTATTTATTCATATTTGTTCTCTTTTATTCTTTAAAGTTTAACAATTCATTCTTTATCTTAATATCTTTATATTTGCTTGGGGTTGGCTTTCTTCCCTTTCATCTTTTTTATTGTACAGCAATCTTTCTCCTCAAACCTACCACCTCTCTCTTTTCTTTCCTTCTTACTTTCTCTTCCCCCCACCCTCTTTTTCTCCTCCCTACTTCCTCTTTCTTTCTCCTTCTCCTCCTCTCTTCCTCCCTCTCTTACCCTCACTCCTACTCTAATTTCCATTCCTTCATCCCTCTCTATTGCTGTAATCCTTTAATGCATATGGACTACTCAGAGGGCTGAAAAAGTTATTTTTGACTGGTCCTCACACTTTTGACAAGTCCTCGAACTTATGACTGTCCTCACATTTTACATTTTTGCCCTATCTTGTCATCATGGTGAAGAGAAGCAGTTGTGAAATGAGTGACATGGTTGTTAAGAATGCTGCATGGGCATAAATGTGAGGATGGTCATAAGTGTGAGGACCAGTCAAAAGTACGAGGACCTGTCAGAAATGACTTTTTTCAGCTCTCTGGTTAGTCCTTTTGTGCATATGGACTACTCAGAGGGCTGAAAAAGTTATTTTTGACTGGTCCTCACACTTTTGACCAGTCCTCGAACTTACGACTGTCCTCACATTTTACATTTTTGCCCTATCTTGTCACCTTGTTGAAGAGAAGCAGTTGTGAAATGAGTGACATGGTTGTTAAGAATGCTGCACGGGCATAAATGTGAGGATGGTCATAAGTGTGAGGACCAGTCAAAAGTGTGAGGACCTGTCAGAAATGACTTTTCAGCCCTCTGAGTAGTCCCTATACACATAGCCATGGCCACCCGGTCACATGACCAGGTAGCCATGCCCACCCAGTCACATGGCCTCCAAGCCACGCCCACACAATAAGCCACGCCCACAATGGTGTCCTTCTTACCAATGTTAAAATCTGTTCACCTTACCCTATAGACATAGCCATGGCCACCCGGTCACATGACCAGCTAGCCACGCCCACCCAGTCACATGACCAGCTAGCCACGCCCACAAAATAAGCCACACCCACAATGTCCCTCTTTACCAATGTTAAAATCTGGTCACCTTAAGTAAACACGATCATTACTAACATGTTCTATCTCACTTGTTGTTTAAGCATGTGCATATTATCAGAAGGGCATGGTTGGCTCAAGATGGTCAATGCTTCATCTTGAGAGAGGATGTTTCCTGCAGCTCCAGTGCACCCCATTGCTCAGAGACGTTTTTTAAATTTAGCTGTATGGGTTCCTGGAGGCTGTGAGGACAGCATGCTCATCTGAAATCCTTGTAAAATTGAGTTGCTGGGTGGCAGAGAGAGGTTTGGTTTTGGTTTTACTTCTTGATGGATTTTTTTTCCTCTAAAACACCTGATCTCTGACAGTTGACCATAATATATAAAATCAACATCCACCACTGTTCACAAGTACCACTTCAAAAACCACACAATATAGTTAATGTTCATCAATTAAAGGTAAAGGTAAAGGTTCCCCTCACACATATGTGCTAGTTGTTCCTGACTCTAGGGGGGTGCTCATCTCCGTTTCAAAACTGAAGAGCCAGCACTGTCCGAAGATGTCTCCGTGGTCATGTGGATGGCATGACTAAATGCCAAAGGTGCACGGAACGCTGTTACCTTCCCACCAAAGGTGGTCCCTATATTTCTACTTGCATTTTTTAAGTGCTTTCGAACTGCTAGGTTGGCAGAAGCTGAGACAAGTAACGGGAGCTCACCCCGTTACGCAGCACTAGGGATTCAAACCGCTGAACTGCCAACTTTTCAATCGACAAGCTCAGCATCTTAGCCACTGAGCCACCTCATCCCTATAATTAATTCATCAATTAATTATAAGTAAATTGAAGGTTTTTTTCCAACTCAGCAAACTGTTAATTTATTTTCAGGATAGATAATTTTGATTTTTTTAAAAAAAAATTATTCACACGGTGCATTTCCAGCAGAAAAGCACAACATAAAATGTACAGTAGATTTAAACTCACTGAAGTTCTTGTAGGATCCTGACTGTAGAACTGGCCTTCCATTTGTTGTATTTTAAACTGCAGTTTAACATTCACCACAGACACCACACTCAGATTCAGATGTTAATCACTTTCTGCAATATGAAAATAAGATGAGAGGTTTTTCCCCCACCAGAAAAACCTGTTGATGCATTTCCCCTCTCTGCATCATATTAGATAATCACTTGAGGGGCTCATTTCAACTCTGATTTTTTAAAAGTTTTGCTGATTAGAAAAGGGAGAGAGAATGAGGGGAAAAAATACAGCTTTTCTGAAGAAAAGCTCACTAGCCGTAAATATATTAATTTTATCAGATGTGTTTAACCCCTTAAGTATAGATGATTTTCCTCCAAATTAGTAGCTCCAATTGTTAAATTGCTTGTCATTTGCAATAAAATGTTTACAGTTTTTCTTAAATAAAACAGTATTTTTTATTAACACCCCTCTAATTTTGACTGGTTTTTTATGTTTAATTTAGACAACCTGCCACCTGTGTTTCTGGCCCCATCCAATCAGCTTCTAACGTTTGAAGGGGAAACTTTTGTTTATCAGCTGCAAGCAGTAGATCCTGAGAGATCAGCCCTGCTTTTTACTCTAGAAGCCGGCCCTCCGGAAGCCTCCCTCTCTCCTGCTGGCCTTCTCATCTGGCAGGTCCATTCTGGAGAAGAGAAGAGTTTTGAATTCACGGTATCTGATGAATGCAATGCACAAAGCAGGCATTCAGTGCAGGTAGGAAGGAGATCTTAACAATCCTTCAAAAACTAGTTTGTAGGTTCTTGGGTACTCCAATAATAGTTAATAATGTGTTATTGTCTTTAAGAAGCTAAGACTTCAGCTGTTTTCAAGTGAGTGAACATTATCATTCATGACAGTAATGATGAATTAATCTAATGAATATTCTGGAGAAAGTGAATCCCATATATTCAATGAATCAGAAAGGGATCCGTATTGATTGCTGTCTGAAAGACCACTTTTTTGCCAAGCTGGTTAATGGTTCATTAATCTGCTTGAAAACTTGTTGTGTGCATGTGGATCTTTGAAGAAAAACACATCATGACATAAAGGACCAGGTTTTAGCCATAAAGGGAAAATTATAATTCATTTGCAACAATATTTTTAATAGCATTTCTCCCCCCACCACCCCTTATACCATTATTCCGTAACCTTGGTTTCTTGGCCATGCTTTCCTGCTTTGTCTTTACAGCAAGCTGTTCTATTAATTTTGCAGTAGCATTTGCTAATAATGCAAATGCACAAGAGGAAGAAACTTACAGCTAAAAGAGGCCGGCTAACATGGATAATTACTAAGGGAATTGTATAAAATAAATGTTAACTCAGGTCACTAGATATAAAATTTATGCAGAACCTGGAGGTATTAGCAACAAAGCCCCTAGGAGTTAGATTCATTGAGCAGTCAAGACCAATCTATACATTATGCTAAGTAACCAGTTGCTTTTAAGAATGGAAAATGCAAATTTGGTCCTTTTTTCTTTGTGATGTTCAGTGATATCTTTATATCAAGATGCTTCATGTTTATTGACTCTTAACCACCAATGATAGAAGGGAGGGGGATGTAGAACATTATAACATTAGAAGATTGTTAAAAGTTCTATTAGATATTAGAAAGGAAAAAGATGAATGGACACTTTTAGTTTTCAAGTGGCAGCTATGCATTTATCATGTGCCTGCGTTTTGTTTCTCATTATCATCTATGACTATTGGAAATTCTTCTGGTATCTTTCAGGGAATAAATTGTTACTGTTACATTTTGATCCACAAATCATTTTTACATATATCATTACATAGGAACTTCAGTAAGTAGCCTTATTGTATGTAAAGTAATAAAATGCATGCTTAAATACAAGACATTGTTGCCTTTTGTAGATTTCAGTGAAGCCTTGCGGCTGTTTGAATGGTGGAACTTGCATCACCAACATTAACTTCCCTCCTGGTATTGGGGAATATCTGTGTAGGTGTCCCAGTGAATTTGAAGGGGACCGTTGCCAAAACAGCCATAATCATTGCAAATCAAATCCATGTGGTATTGGTTCTTGTACTGGTGGTATAGACAGCTACAAGTGCAAATGTCCAGCAGGTTGGAAAGGTGAGTTGTGTCCATAATCTCCTCTTTTCATGTTTAATTTTGACACAATTAGATTATAAATGTATTCAAAATAAAATTTGAGAATCGTTTTATTATGGTAGAAATATTGCTTTGATAAAATCATTGACCCCCTAGCCAAAAAAAGTTTTTTTTATTTCAAGGCAAGCATTTGACAGCAGCTGTTTGTAAATGGAAGACTAAAAATGATAAGATGATGTTATTTCAAGAGAGAAAAAGAAAAAGTTCACCAATCAATATAAGTCACAGTATGGTGCATTTGATTTTAGGTTAGTGTGTTTTCTGAATCCAACTACTGTATTTTGCAAACTATTGTTTATAGTTTAAAACTGTGTAAATCTATCTGACCTATCTATCTATATATGGATGGATATTTCTATCCATCCATCCTGTTCGTTAAATCCAATTCTTTGCTAAACACTAGAACTTCCATCTTCCATAGTATTCTGTACAGTAGAACAATGTTAATTCATACCCAGTATCTTCATTTGTCTTCAGAATGTGTTTAGGATAAGTAGAAATACCGACAACCAAAATGTCAGGGTAATGATTTAAGAGCTGACCAGCTGCTACAATGATATAATACTGGGAGTGAGTCAGCAAGGTTTTTGGGCTGATATCACTTTAAGAGCCTGTGATAAGAAGAGGCCCTGTTGGGGCATGTGTGTCTCTCTTTCCATGTGTGTTTCCGTGCTGTAATTGCTGATTGCTGTTTGTTTGAGGTCTGACTAAAGTACATGTGTGTATATATTCTTTGTAGATAAAACCACTATTTAAATGCAAACTTCTGTTTACTGTATTTGCTCCTGGATTGTCTCACATAGTCACACTGTGCGCACTCTGACACAAGAGCTCTTATGCTCTTTTGGAGGAGAAAAACTAAAGACATAACATGGTACTGAAATTGGGGTTATGTTGGGTGCCAGGTTACAGACCAGACACAAGACTGATGATGTAATAGAATAGTTATCAAAGATCTATGGTTGGTAACAGTACATTGGCACAATATTTTTCCTATTTTGCTCCTACAGGCTGGGTACCACCTAATTCACAAATCTAAAAGCAGTTAGTTCAAGTCAAAGTATAATGAAAATCAAATCCTGTGAGATTGTGTGAAGCTCTTCACTGCAGTATTTTTAAAAACCGTCCCTATTTCCCCATAAACTTAAATTTAAGCAATTGTTTTCTGACATTTTCATTGGATGCTAGTCTGCTAATTTTGTTTTCTTTATCCACATGAACATAGTGATAAGATATTGCCTGCTAAGAAAAAGAAAGACACCTGCTTCAATTACTCTCCTTTTTCTAGTTCATTTAAATAAAATATTCATTGTTTCAGCAGCTGCTTCCTGAGCTGAAAATAGCAAACATGAGGAAAATGGGGGGGAGGAATAAAGAAATGATTGAAAGGCATTCCTATTTCATTCAGTATTTTAATAGCAGGTGAAAAATTATATGCAAGTGTAGCTGAAAACCAGCTGAGAGGTAGATGATTTTACTCCAGGGCAGATTCTGTTACAGCAATAAAGCTTCTTGAAGTAGTGTTTGTCTCAATTCCCCAGAAAACCATCAATAATCTAATGAGCAGGTAACACTGCACTGCTCAAGTGACAAGACCATTATGGCATCACATCTTTACAAATGATAGCAAACAGATAGTAGTAACAAAACACTTGCTCTTCAGAGATCACGTTAAATATCATCCCTTGAGAAGCTCGTTACTAAAAATGTAGAAAGCACTGTTGTGCATGCAAAACTACCACTGCATTCTAAATCCCATTTTGCTGTCACTGACAGGATGATAGTAATTACAGATGTGCACAGGGAGAACAAGGAGAAGGCAGAGATTAAAAAATGAGCATGAGCGATGGAAATGTCTACACAGAATGCAGGCCCAGAGTGCATTTTTTGTGGTTTAAACTTCCATAAACAGGTTCTCCCGTTGGGACCTCATTCCAAATCTATTTTTGAATATTCAAAGTATTTAGTGCATATGTTTGCTATCGGTCCTTAGTAGCAGTAGCAAAACACAAATACACATGTAAAGCATAAGCTTCAGAGTGAACCATGTTTATCAAAACATTTCTTCACTTTGTGAAAAGCACAGACAATTTATTGCATTGCTTCAGTGGTATATGTTGATTGAGAAAACATTGGTGACCAAAAGAGCAAGTGCATTTTCACAGCTAGGAAGAGAAATGTGCCTATTGCCAAAGTACACTAATTTTAGATCAGCTAGTCATAGACAATTAGTGACTAGTTGTCATTATTTACTTGCATCAAATCTGAAAATGTGTTAACATAAACAGTTGGATATATGTTCCAGAAAAAGGAATGGACAGATAACAGATAAGTATCCTGGAGATATATCTCATTTTGGATTTTTTTAATGAAACTATCACATGGGACAATAAAGAGAATCCCTGCTAAGACTGTGGTTTGTTTTTTGACCTATACTACATATGTAAATGATCTTCCTATGATTAACTTTTCTGTAGCCAGAGTATTTCATGTTTATTACTGACTTGCATTTTCTCTATCTGTATCAACGGTATGTTTGGAAGGGCTGGGAACCAAAAATGAGGATGGATTAATTCAACATTTAAGATCTTCTCTTCAACACTCAGGACCACTATAATCATATGTACCAAGAATCTTGCACATTTTTACAGTTTTCTACCTAGTAGTACAATACACACACTGATTTTTAGCTACCCAGTTGTTTTTCAGAAAATGGTGCTGGCATCCTTGTTATTTTTTCCTATTGTTATAAATATTTTGGATTCCTCAACAACAATTTAAAATCAAATATATAAAATTTGGCCCACAGATTAAAAACTAACATACACCCATTATAAAATTCATATTAGGCCAGCCCGGCTTGTTGGAACAAATGGGTCTTCAGGGCATGGCGAAAGGTACGCAGGTCGGGGATCATATGAACCTCTAGGGGCAGCTCATTCCAGAGGGCTGGTGCCCCCACAGAGAAGGCTCTCCCTTCTCTGTTTAATGTTTATCATGGGAAAAGTGCACACTGCAGTTGATATTTTGACTGAGTCTCCACTGGACTTGAAAATATAATATACAATAGTCTGTCTTGAGAGACTTGGCTCAGTAGAAAATATTTGATGGAGTCAGAAAGATATTTTCATATTCCTTCCTCTTAATTATCTCACTGTTCCTCACTGAAAAAGCAATCTGTTCAGAAATTGTTCAGAGTGAGCTGAACTTTTTCTGCCATATAACGGTAGTGTTTATTTATTAGTCATATTTCTATGCTGCCCACTCTCTGAGGACTCTGGGCAGCTTACACCAAAGACAGTATACTAAATAGCATATTGCCCCCAACAATCTGGGTCCTCATTTTACCTACCTCTGAAGGATGGAAGGCTGAGTCAACCTTGAGCTGGTGAGATTTGATCCGCTGATCTGCTGAACTAGCAGTCAGCTGAAGTAGCTGCAGTACTGCACTCTAACCACTGCGCCACCTCGGCTCTTGTGTGTTTTAAAATAAAGAAAGGGAAATGAAAATAGAATATCCCCATAGTTTTTATATAATTCTGAGAACTGATAGAAGGAGAACAATAATTAACCTCCTCTGCTTGTAAGAATCAATGGCTTTCAAACAGTGGAATACATATTAAATTTAACATTGGAAATAATGATAATTATAAGAAATATAATTGTCATAAACACATTCCAGTTGCCAAGTGCCTGAATTTATATCATGCGGGCCGGAGTGGGTGTGGTTTCATATGCTGCCTGCATCCTGCAGATGGGGCTTTGCTTGTTTGCACGGCCCGTTTCTGGCATGTCGTGGACCGGTCCATGGACCAGGGTTTGGGGACCCCTGCAGTAAAACACTCTACATGGTAGTAAAATCTGCCAGGGACCTTCCCTGCCACGGTGCTTGCCTTATTCTCTCCCACACTCCCCAAGTTAGGTTAGTTCCATCCCTGTTAATGTTTAGGAAGAGCATTGAGACCTGGTTATGTCATCTATTTGGGAGGGGAGAGGTCACAAAGAACCGGAAATATTTTAAGATAGGTCCCTTATTATATCTAATATGTGGTTGCTTTACTTTTCTCTGCCTTCAGACATAAAATACTTTATACTGTACTACTTTATACTGTAGAGTACTTAAACTCTACAGTATAAATTTTCTTTAAAAGTTATTTATATGCTCTGTTCAAACTCTCTCTGTTTAGGTTGATATGCAGTGATTGCTTTAGGAGAATAGTTTCATATAACTGTTTCCTAAGATAATAGTTTCACATTTCAATTATTCTTTAATTTTTACTAATTATATTTTTATAATTACTGTTTTATAATGATTTTTTATATTGTGGTTTTACTTTATTTGTTATATGCAGCCCTAAGTCTGGTGAGATGGGCAGCTATCTTTTTTAACGAAGGAAGAAACAAATAAACTGCTTTCTGTCTTTCTTACAAGTGTTGGATCTGTAGTTCATACATTGTTTTGTACAGCTTCTATCATGGAAAGCTTTGTCAGCTGTTTCTTTCTTTCAATCAAACTGATATTAAAACCTGAGGACTAATTGGTAGCCCACGATTACATAATTCCCAGTAGTATTTTTGGCATAAATGTCATATACCTGGAGGGGTGATAATCAAACATGGTTTTAGGAGTATATTAGTTTTATTTGAGTGACTAACATTCAGTTTTACATTTGGGGAAGCAGTACACTAGTGGCACTAGACATCTGCAACATCAGGTGAATCTGTTGGAGGGCTTTCAATGACAAATGACCAACATCTTCCCCAACTCTACTTCTGGGAAGTCTGCCTAATGTGTATGAAGATTTAAACAAAGGATTAAACAGCAGTAACAACATCTTTCTATTTATTAACCTAAGCTTTATTTTTTGCCACAGGGCATACTTGTCAAGAGGATATAAATGAATGTGAAGCAAATTCTTGTTTTCCTGATGTCTCTTGCACAAATACAATAGGGTCTTTTGAATGTGGCAGCTGCCCTATTGGGATGGAAGGTGATGGTAGAAATTGCAAATGTGAGTATTTTGTTACTGATGTTACAGTAATTAAGGAAACAATTGTAACCGGCTCAACCCCAAAATAAATTTTGTGAGTCAAAATAATGCAATATTTGTGTCCTTGTTCAAATATATACATGGATTATCTCTGATATATTCAACTGTATCTAGAAAAAGAAAGGGATGGTTTTTTTTCGATGGAAATTTTCTGAATAAGAAAAGTATATAATATAATTTGAACTGAATTGAAAATAAGATAAATGCTGGACTAGCATTAATCGAAGCATATTCTGAATGTGCATGTGTGTTCATTTGTCTTATTTGCACAGGATACGCATAAATAAGGTAGGTCATATGGCATGATAACCAGACACTTTGCCCAACATGTGTTTTGCTTATGAATATCCACATATTTTTTATGTTTGTAGCACAAAAATTGTAATGCTGTTATCCTGATAAGTTGTCTAAACAATAGAGATTTTCAATATGCTGTATTCTATATCAAGTAATACTGTCCACTTTTATACAATATGATTATGCATACAAAGAACATTCAATGCCTTCACTCAGGGGCATGAGAAAATGTAGACATGCCAAATAAGTAGCAATTTACTGAATCTAAAATTCATTTGCAGTCTCCTCTGGTCATCCTGATCCTAAGATGGGAACTTATCAAAACACAAGGAAGACAGAAAGGCTAAGACCTAGTCTCTATGTAGAAGTCTGTTAGTAGGACATTGATGTAGTCCAATATTATTTAGCTAGTTAACTTAAACTTTGGTAATGATGCTTTGATATTATCCTTCCCTCTTTTATTAAAATATATTTCTGAATACATTGTCTAAGTTTTCCTCTAGAGTCTTTCAAAGTCTTTCCAAACTTTAAACGTGATTGTTTTACGTTATCCTTGTTTTTAATTGTTGCTTCTTCTCTTAAATACAAGTTTATTATTTCTTCAGAAAACCAATAAAAGTTGTTAAAACAACTTTAAGAGATGAACAGCACTTTCTAGATTAACCCCATCCTCAAGGAAAAAAATGCCCAGAGAATCCCAAGCTAGTGTTACAGAGGAAGTTCAATAAATCGTTTACTTCATTATGCATAAAATAATTTATGAATGCTCCTGAGGATGTAACCGCCTGCCTCCCTGGTTTTTCTGTTCATGTATACCTGACTATTAACCTTCAGTGTGCAAAACAATTAAATTAACTATCCAAGAGCATTCCTCCTCCACCTCCTCCTCCTCCTCTTTTTTGTTCATTATACAAACAACAGGTTATGTATGGAAACAAAAGCAATGGCTTAAAGCTGAAAAATCCTAGAAAACATGAACAGTCTGTTGTAATATTGATTCAGTCTTCCCTTGGTTTACAGTTTTACCTTATAGAAACTATTTTCTAGTCTTTGCCTTGTTTCAGGACATTTGTGGCTGCCTTGAAGTGTTTCTGGTGTTCTTGTGTGAATTAATTCTGTTAAGCGTGACTGGAGAAAGGAAGATTCAATTCATGCCTAAGTAAAATCCTGCCCTTAACTGAAATGTGGTTGTTTATTTGCACACTCTCAGGATTTTAAAATGCTTCATCTGATACCGCAGTTGTACACCACTCATTTAAATTACCTTACAGAAGTAATGAAAGTGGTTATTGGTTGCAAAATTCTTTTTTCATAGCAAAGGTTCAGTGACATTGGGAAAGAAAGAAAAAGTTACTGCTCTGAAATATGATGCCTCTGTATATCTGGCTTAAAGTTGGGAAAAGATCCTCTTATGCTTAACCAACTAATCGATCAATCAACTCACTTTGATTTAAACAATGGTTCATCCCTTTATGCAAACCAGGTTCCACTATGTACTATATAGCAGGCTAGAAAGTCATGAAGCAGGAAAAGTAGAAAGGTTCCCAATCCACGTCTATGCTCTATCTGACATATCCAATGCTATACTGTCATTTTTGCACTAGGAACTTAAAGAGACCATATTGTCCATTGTTTCTTAAGTCAGAGATAGGCAATGTAGAATTTATGGGCCCAGGATTTACTGTCCACCAGACCTGTTTCATCTGATTATTTGAAAAGACTCTTTTTAAAATGAAAGATATTAAAAGAAAGTAGCCAAATTGCATAGCAAAGGACCAGTAGCATCATATTTATTTATTGGAATGTCTTGTGAATCTTCACCAAATTCTAGATTCTAGACAGCATCTGAAAGACTAACCTGCCTTTAGTGACTCCCCATGTCCGTGAATAGTAACCATGTTGTTCATTAGCAAATTCCCATGAAAACTCTGCATCTACCACAAAGTCTCACAATTCTAAATGTGTTCCAAAGATTAACATACCCCTGTACTTGGTGGCAGCAGTCTTAAATAAAGATAATCAACTTTTCATCAGTCAAAGACTGCAGAATATGAATGCAACACAACACTGAAATATATACACTTCAGTAGCAAAGGGTTCCAAAGCAGTGATATTAGAAGAGAATGTGGAGTTGTGTTCTGTTGCTAGAAAATAGACAGTGGGCTATAAAATCAGCATTTCCCACCCAAGAAATTGATTTGATTTAGCACAGTGGCATCAGAATTACATTTCTTTGTTCATCAGATCTTTGTTCAAACAGATTTTTCTGTTATAATTGGTACTTCATTCTGATCTGAATTTTCCTGAGGATGGGATTAATCTAAAAACTGCTCTTCAACTCATAAAGTTGTGTAACAACTTTATGATTTAGTGAAGAAATAACAATCACATCGTGCCGGAAAGGAGGGGGGGGCTATTGAAATTCTTTTGCCTATGTAAGATATATTATGTAAACTATATACAGTGAATCTCCTCTTCCTCCTCGTTCTATAAGGGTTCTTGAAAACTTTTACTAATTCGAAGACAGAGTGCCACCATGACTGACTGTTTCTTCCATTTGACTTAAAATATTCACACATACCTTTCCAATAAAGCTAGCCAGTAGCTAATTGCTTTGAAACATGGCTCCAAGTGGAACATTCATTCTGTAACTTACTGGAGGAAATTAATATTTTAAATGGTCCCTGATGGACAATTTAGTTGATTTACTTCTTTGAGCACTTCAAGCCACGGTATCCAAAGTACTCTTCTTGAGCCAGCTGCTGCCTAGAGTTGGTGTGGTATAGTTTGGCAATTGTCCATGAGTAGGCAGATGGAGTCAAGCCAGCATGATTTTTTTTTAGAATTGGTCAAGCGGATGTGTTACTCATTGCTCCAGCTGTACACCTGCCGCTATTCTATAAGCCATTTGAATTGTCTACCTCTACTTCTGGATCCTCTACTATATCTGGATGTTAAATGAGACCCTGTTCTAATGAAATCCCAGATGTTAACTCATTCAATCTGTTTGATTCCACACTTGTCTTGGGGGGTGAGGGGAATAAATAACCTGGAGGATAACATGATATGATGTTAGCATTCGCCTCCGTCAATAATCACAGCAAAAACAAATGCCGTGCCTTTTTTCACCTCCACTCTCTATCCTTGCAGCTGAAGACTTTGCTGACAGAATAGAAGCTTTCATTACTAATCATCATAATATCAAAGGTGAATGGAAAACAAGTGAAAATAAACAACTTGAGAAAGGCCAAGAAGCAAGGACTTTGTCGGCAATTAAGTATGTTAATACCAGCAAGGTCCATGGTAAGTATAGTCTAATTAGATGAGTGTCAAAGAGTTCTGCTCCAAGCTGTCAGCTCTTATGTGAAACTATTTTCCTAAGCAGTCACTGCATATCAACCTAAACAGAGAGAGTTTGAACACAGCACAAAGATAACTTTTAAAAAAGTTTGTATAATGGATAGAGCAGACAGTGGGAATGCAGACAGTCAGTTGTGGCCACGGTTCTTAAAACGTTCTTTGAGAAGATGCAATGTTGATGCTATGCGATGAATAGATTCCTGCCTGGCTCAGGTCCACTTGGCATGTGCCCATCTTGTTAGATTGATTATATCTATTAATTAACAAAATATAAAATATTCAGAATAGAACTTGATGAGGAAAAAGAAATTGCACTAGACTTCCATTGTCAATGGTTTGGGTTTTTGCCTTAGCCTTTGGTTTGGAGTCATAAGTACCTTTCCTTTCTTCTTTGGAATCATAAATAGCACTCTTCTGGGTTTAAACAAAGTCACTTATTGCAGTATCTTGTTTCTAACTATGAAATCTTTAGAGAACCTTCAAGCAAAGCAACATCATTTTCCCATTCTTTCTTCCCAGAAAGTTGTCTGTTTGAAAACAGTTGTATGTGAGACCATGTATATCAGTGGTGGGTTTCAAATTTTTTTACTACAGGTTCTGTGGGCATGGCTTGGTGGGCGTAACAGGGAAAAGATACTGTAAAATCTCCATTCCCTCCCCACTCCAGGGAAAGGTTATTGCAAAATCCCCATTTCCTCCTGATCAGCTGGGACTTGGGAGTCAGAGAATAGATGGGGGCAGGGCCAGTCAGTATTTTTACTACTGGTTCTCCAAATTACTCAAAATTTCTGCTATTGGTTCTCCAGAACTGGTCAGAACCTGCTGAAACCCACCTCTGATGTATATTTTATGCTGGCTAGTTTTGCACATTGCACTAAGCAAATGTGCAACTTACTTGCTTTTTTATTGTATGAGCCCAATAATTCAGTTGGTAAGATATTTTATGGTTTAAGATGATCTATGAATCTGATCAGTTGTGGGCGTATTCATAATTGAACACAGTGTACGAACCAAGTAATTATCTGCAAATAATAAACCCCAAATGAATTCTTCTTTTTTGTAAATTAGTCACTGAAATGGAAAAAGTGGGAAAATAAATATCATTTTATCCTGACAGATTTTTTCCTCTGAATCACCAGTTGGATTCACACAATTACTAGGTCATGGTTTGGTTAACTTTGATTTAATTAATAAATCATATTTGGATAGTTTTGCATGACACTTAGCCATATCCCTTATTTATGCATCATAAAGTCAGGGTTCAAACAACATATAAAGTAAAAGGTAAACAAATCATATTATGGGTTAATGGATTGTATGACCTGTTTCACAATATCTTCACCTTCTGGGCAGTGGTGGGATTCAAATAATTTAACAACCGGTTCTCTGCCCTAATGACCGGCTAGGTGGGCATGGCCATGGTGGGCATGGCCAGGGGGTGTGAAGCCTCCTGGGAGTAAAAATAGGCCATGGGGGGTTTACTGCACCCCCCATGCCCCATTTTGGGCCTAGGAGGCCTCCCTGCACTTACCTGGGAGCCAAAATGTGGTGCGTGGGGACTCAGGGAGGGGTGGGGAGGGGCCAGCCAGCAATTTAACTACCAGTTCGCCCAAACAAGCCCGAACCAGCTGAATCCCACCACTGCTTCTGGGTGATTCCACAGCCATATTGTAAGTAAGGTAAAAGCAGAGTGAGGGAGTTTAAAAGAGAAAACATCAGGCAAGAAGGGGTTGAGTTAGCATGACTTCCTCCACTCTTTCTTCTCTATTGCAAAACAACCTTTCCAGTAGATGCCTCACAAAGGAGAGAAGGAAGCCTCTGGGAATTCATTATATAATCCTGCAGAGAAATGTGTAGTTTGCCCCCTGATTAATGAAACTTCTCCACCTAGATGTTTCTAGCAGTGAAGAAAAGTCAATTTCACCCCTGATAAATGCCACACACTTTTGAATTCCAAACTTTACAACATGTAATTAGAGGGCTAATAAATCTTGCCTTAATGAGAAACAGCTGGTTGGTATGTGGTGCCTTTAGGGTTTTCTTATACTTGGCACACAATTTGGGGGCCTCTAGCATTAATTATGTTTTGAAAGAATAAAAAGATCAGAAAGCCTTAGCCAGTGCTCATATTTGCTCCCTGGTTTATTTTTAAATTAGCAATGGTCTTGGATATTCCTTCAGGTCATGCAGGAGTCCTACCATCTCTTACTAACTGTGCTAATAGACCTTGTTTTCCTGGAGTGCTGTGTGTTGACCGCAAACCTCCAAAGACTGGATACTTCTGTGGCCGATGTCCAATAGGTCTATATGGGAATGGACGAATCTGCACAAAAGCATCTAGACCAGGTACCTTTCTTTCATTTTGGGTATCAGAGCTGCAGAACTGAACTAGATAATTGATTTGTCAACATATTTTAATGTGACATTGTAATCATTTCATTATATCAGGAAAAATATAAGGAAAACTATTTGTACTTCATCAACTGTTTTGTATATAGCCCAGTACTACCTACCTATCTCAATACTACATTATTACCATTAATAATGATAGTAGAAGCACAAAGATTGACAAAACTAGGATTAAAATAATTCATACCTCCAGAAACTAGATCTTTGTTGTTCTTTGAAAAGATTGTTTGTGTGTGGGGGGGGGTTCATATGGATTTTGGGGAGCAAAATATTCCACCAGGATGGGATAAGTGTTGTTTAAGCAAATGATTACTTACATTTTCCCATCAAAACTGGAACTCACAGTCCAGAATCAATGACCGCTTTTAAATGAGAAAAGACAATTGATTTTGTTTTAAGCCCTATAGAAATACAGTGACTGTTGTTTTATATAGTCTGTAGGTTCCAAATTAGAAGGGTTCAAAAACTGCTACATCAGGGTTAAAACAACTTGGGATTTGAAAACAGTTATATTTTGTTCAAGAATTGTTGTAGAATTGAAGGGAAAACTTCAAGGGCATTGCGAGCAACTTCTCACTTGTTGCAGGAATTAGAAAGCAAGAGTATCCGCAAATACAAAAGTTCCTACCTTAATTCAATTATTATTGAATTAATAATTAATTCAATTATTGAATTCTTATTTACTATCAAAATGTTTCTCCTACTGTTCAACTAAAATCTATCCTTCTGTAAGAAATCTAAAGAAACATCTGGCTTTCAAATGTTACTAAATTCTCAGCCACCATGGGTAAAGTTGTTCAGCAATATCTGAAAAACTACAGATGCTGTACTCCTGCCTAAGGATATTCAATCTAGTCCTTCTAGAGCACAGGTATCAAACTTGCCACATCATGTTGCCATCACGTGATGTTTCGCAATGTTTTTCCCATTCGTGGAGATGGGGTGGTTGTGACCTGAATATGATGCCTCCGGCCCCCGGGCCACCAGTTTGACACCCATGTGTAGAATCTAGATGAAACAACAAGGATACTGTTGGTATTTGATGGACCTATACAGTATTTCACATCCTCATAATTTGTATTCTTATTTGTTGATTATAAACCCACAGGATGAAAATCATAGCACAATGTATGCTTTGAGAATGAACTTGAAGTGCTTCCAATTTTAAGCAAAAAAAAAAAAAAACTTTCTAAAGCACCCCATCCTTTTTCAGTTTTCCAGAGAGTCTGAAGACATATGTGGCTGCATTAAATATAATGAGTTAAACTACTAGATCTGTTTTAAGCTTATGCAGAAACCTTTGGTCTGCTTTAATGAATTGCAAAGAAGTACAGAGCCAATGCAAGTGCTAAAGCTGTTCCTCCAAATTATTTTCAAAGCATGCAGAATGCTAGAAGACAATACACTTCTAGCTAACTTTTCCTAAAGCGTTTCAAATTGAAACCTTCACAGAAATACTCCATGCAGAATTGCAAGCATGAAGTAACTCATTTCTTTAAAATCCAAGGAAAAAACTGACTGCTTTTGCCATTGTCAACCTTCCTTGCTGCTCATTTATACTTCTTCAGGCTATAACTATACCAATGTCACCCATCCATAAGTGAAGAAACAAATGGCAGAGAGCAACTTGTAATTAAAGCAGTCAACCTTTCAGTAGTATGTTGCATAAAGTCTGCCTTTAGGAGTTTCCAAACATCACATCTTTTACTAATCTTTGAATGTGGAGAATGAATAGAATGCTGAAGAGAAGTCTTCCTATAATTGTAGACTGGAGGAATCAAAATGAGTGAGCTGAAAGACAGAGCCAAACAATTTTGTTTCCCCAGCTTTAAAAAAAAAAATCCTTCTTCCCAGTTCCTGAAGGATAGACAGAATTTAGTCACCTTTCCTGTCAAGTTATGCCTAAAACAACTTCATCAAAGAGCCCTTAATTTATTTACTGAGAATTCAGGGGAAGGATTTATATAATTACTCAAGTTAGATTCCCTTCTCTCATTTCTTGCTATACAGTTTAATTATTTTGGAACGGCAACACTCACTCCTGCTGCTTCAGCGTGCATCAAGATTAATGTCATTTTGCCATATTAATTAAACTCTTGACAAAATGGAAAGTTAGGGCTTCAAAAAAAAACCTGAGGCTCAGTGATTCTGTCAGTGTTTCTGAGGGATTTTTTCCCCCTTCAGAGATAAGATTATGACTCATACATACAGCCAGTAAAACAAATCGTTTGGATGGACACTCCTCTATAATGTATGATTTTCCCCTACAAATAGAAACATTTATCTGTTTAAGCAGGAAAAAAAATCCATGAAGTCATTCCTCTTGTTATCATATACTATATGGAGTAAAGCTGCAACTGACAGAAAAATGTCACTAGCAGACATAAATACAATAATTTGGAACTACAATTTGCATTTCTTCTTTCTCCATGACAGGGGGCGAATGCAGATTTATGTATTATATAAATATTTATATCTTCCTTCTAGTGCTTATATACCATTCAGAACAGCTTACAATATTTAACATCAATTATAAAATGCATTCTAGAAATTGATGGAGCATCCCAGTTCATCTCAGTGTCATGGGATGGGGGGAATGCACATTGTGGTGTCATTGTGATTTGTACCAGATGCCTGTGTCTCCTCTATCTTACCTGGTTTATATCTCTGTTGATACTTTCAAGCAGTGTTTTAAAATCCGAACAAGGGGGTTTTTTGGTTGTGGAAGTAAGAGGAATAGTCTTCCATGCTGCATATGAAGATTAATGAGAACGCATCCTTAATCCCTGATATTTTTATATAGATAAAAATAGAGAGTAAAACAAATGATCACAAGGCACAATAAACCAAAAGCCAAGTCATCAAACATCTTTCTCAAACTGATTCTAAGGGACAACTTGAATCACTGTAATTTAGTATCCCCAAATCTGTCCTACACAAGTAGTCCTAAATAATGCCATATTTGATGCTATCAAAGGCTACTCATAAATCAGTGTACCAACAAGAACATATTCTTTCTTATGTAGTTCTTCATAAAGATCAACCAGGGATGCCCTTCAAAAAGGACAACCAGGGATGTTTCCGAATATAAACTGGGTCTGAAGCCAGTATGGATACAGAGTTTGTATGATTTTTAGGGTCTTTGGCACTCTCTGAGCTTCATGGATTTCTTCAGATGTTTCTCCCAAAGGTGCTTTTTCAGGAGGCAACTGGACTTTCTTGTTTTTTCTTTGAAGACGTTTCACTTCTCATCCAAGAAACTTCTTCATCTCTGACAGGATAGTGGGGAATGGAAGGATTTATATTCCTTGCAGACAGCTGGCCATTTGCATCCTTTTAGAGGGTCCTTGAAGCACTTGGAAGTTTATCTGGGTCCTCAGGGTTACCTGGGTAGTGCTCCTGGTTCCTGTAGTCTACAATTTTTCTCTGGAAATCCATTCCTACCCCCACACTTTTCAAAGGGTTTTCATCTCAAATTGTATAGCTAAAAGTCTGTAGAGATTCTCAGTCATCCAAGTTATGGTTGTCCCAAAGGTGCTTTTTCAGGAGGGAACTGGACTTTCTTGTTGTTGTTTTCTTTTCTTTGAAGATGCTTCACTTCTCATCCAAGAAGCTTCTTCAGCTCTGACAGGATAGTGGGGAATGGAAGGATCGGATGACTGAGAATCTCTACAGACTTTTAGCTATACAATCTGGGATGAACACCCTTTGAATGGTGTGGGAACAGAACTGAAGAAGCTTTTTGGATGAGAAGTGAAATATTTTCCAAGAAAAAACCCAATAAACTCCACTTGCCTTTTGGAAAAAGCACCTTTGGGACATTTCCTTAGTGTAGCTTCTTCAGTGAAATCAAGAATTAGCACCCAGCACCCTTGATCAGAAGCTCAAGCCTAGTAGACACATGTTGCATCATGTCTCTGGAGTGCTATAAATGCATTCTAGCTACCAGTGGGACATCTGGAAGCTTCAGAAGTCAGAGCAGATAAAATAGTTATCATGCTGTAGATTCCATCCCGTGGTGGTCACTATTGCAGGGCACAAAATATGTGACTTGTCTGTTTGTTTGTTTTTTTAATTTTAAAAACAAACTTTATTCAATATAAAAAGATAAAAAATTGTACAAAACGTTCTTAACTCTAAAGAAGAAAATACAATTCTAAATTACATATTATACTAAAACTAACAAACAGGATTATCTATCTATAATATTTAAACATGTGAATATATATATACATTAACCTTAATTTCTTAATGACAGTGTATATTTGTTACCTTTAATTTCTTACTGTATTTGACTTTAGTTTTTTTTCCATCGTTTAATCCATTCATACCATCTGTCCCATATTTGGTAATACTGTGAGTCTTCCTTGTCATTTAATTTTAAAGTTAATCTATCCATTTCTGCACATATAAATATCTTTTGGATATTGTCTGGGTTTAATAAGAGCCAAACTGTCACCTGTCCCATTTGCACTGCTGCCAGGAAATTAGTCTGGGATGAGAGATTAACTCTTGGCATATACTACCACATTCTTTGCTTGTCCCTCCCAGGAACATTTCCCCCTTCTCCCTGCTGCCAAAATGAGGCAGCACATAACAAATCAATCTAGAGTTCTCACTCAAAGCACAAATGACCAAGCTCAAATTATTCTATTTTAGACACATTATGCAAAGACCTAGGTCTCTGGAGAAGTCTATAATACTGGGAAAGATGAATGGAAACAGAAGAAGAGATGACTAGCAGCAAGGTGGAGGCACAAAATTACAGTAGCAAATGGATATTAACTAGCAGTTGTTATGTGAACCTATATTCCCAGTGCTACCTGACTCTGGGATGCTGCTGTGAATAAGATTTTGAGGCATATAGCATTGAATTATGTTCGGTTTCAGCTTTTAACATTTTATTTATTTATTTATTTATTTATTTATTTATTTAT